TTTAATGAGTAGATTTGCCGTTGTCCTTTAGTTGAGTTCAGTTCCCGGCTCAACACTATTACTGTAAACGATATGAAGAATTCGACGAGTGAAAGTGCAGGCGTTTTGCGTGCACATTTCTCTGGCAGCTGGTTATCGTCGATGTCCTCTTATCGTACTAATAACCGCCGCCAATGACTACAAACAATTTATGCTTGTGTGTTCCTGAAATAATGCACATACATGCACTCATGCACGTCAATTCGTCATGAGATGCTGCGGACGACATTCAATAGCAGCAACCGGCAGCAACCACAAAAGGGGCACATAGCAAAGTTATGCGCTGAAGGTTGTGATGTCTAGTGAAACACTAATGTCAAATGATGTCAACAAAAAGAGCTACTCCGCCCACGCATCCGCGGAGCAATACACAACTAAGTTGGGTTTTTCTTGTAGAATGTGTGGGAAGCTTTGTGAATTGAAAATGCATGAAAGTGCCTTCCTCACGCTTTCTGGGATATCTCCGATCCTCATAGGTCTATTTCTGGGCATCACTTTGGAGCACGTCAGGGAAGAATTAGATGAGCCGTGAACTGCGTCCTTTGGTTGGATTTGTAGAAGCAATTGAACGCGTATTTTGCCCCTGCCATCGACATTTGTGGGGATATCGGTATTTTCTGAGCATATGGGATAACTAATAGACTATGAAGGGTGTAATCCTCGATTTGTCTGGGCGGGTCCTCTCTTCACGGCCGTTTCCAGTATTGCTACTACGCCTTCACCTGGAATGGGCCCCGTGCAGTGCGATTTATTTGGTGTATAGTTCATGAATTTTGTAATATTGGGGATCCTCCGTCATGAAATGGAAAGCATCAGCAAACAGCTCGCGAAGTACCCGATTGCTTTTTATTCTGCCATTGAGCTTTGCCTAGCGATCTTACCAGGAAGGTCTTTCAGGGCGTGACGAAGCTTTTTGAAAACGGTCTTTTGCATGATATAGGGGCAGATGCGGGAACCACAGAACCATGTTTAATTTTTCCTGAACGGCCCTCTGAATACCAGAAAAGGGG